TGAAGGTTAGGAGTTTAATTTAGTGTGGGAGTAGTAGTGATGTTCTTGGATCCTGGGAAATGAGAGTAGTCCGTTGAACTTGCTGCAGCCATTGTTGAGATGGGAGCATATCAGGTCAAATAACTGATGGGTCAATAACCCATCAGTAAATTATTTTCCTGTCCTCATGTGTCAGTACACTTTTTTATTTAAATTAAATTTGAAAGGACAGTAAGGTAAAATTGTACTTATCCCTATTTATTGCTGACGCTAACTTTTGACCGGACCACATCAGCGTCTCCTTCTCTCTCCTCGAAAAATATTTACTTTTCCTTCCTTTAATCTTTAATGGACGATTTCTCACTCGTTTTTAGTCGGACTTTTTTTTGTACAGTTAGATCAGATTAATTGTGCTCTTCAAAATGATATACACTTTGATATTTTTTTCACACAAAAAAATTTGTCACTTATTATCAGACTGTACCATATGGTATTGGCTGGTATTAAATAAGAGCATACCATATGGTATGAAAAAAAATTTCACACTAATATATATTTCGTTACCACCCAATACCATATGGTATAGTGTGGTAATATCAATATATATTTCGTTACCACCCAATACAATATGCTATTGTGTGGTAATATCAATATATATTTCGTTACCACACAATACCAAATGGTATAGTGTGGTAATATCAATGTATATTTCGTTATCACACAATATCATATGGTATTGTGTGGTAATATCAATATATATTTCGTTACCACACAATACTGTATGGTATACTATGTTAATATCAATATATATTACCTAAAAGAAAAAAAACAGAAGGAGGGAGAGGAAAAAAACTCGTCTTCTATCTCGTCTCATTTCCTCCGCAATCAAGAAACCAAATGCCAAAAACAGGAGAAAGACCGAAATTGAGGCCAACAAGTTCATGAAGAGAAGAAACGCAATGAAATAGAGTGGCTACAATTTTTCTTCGTTGATTGCTGGAGAAAAAAAAACAAAAAAGAAGAGAAGTAAGCAGATCTAGATATGGAGAAGGAGATTGAGAGAGAAAAAAGGAAGAGAGAAGGAAGAGAGAAAGAGAAAAGATCTGAAAAGGAGATTGACTGATTGAGAGAGAAAAAGAAAGAGAGAATGAAGAGAGAAAGAGAAAAGAGAGTTTCATAGAAAAGATTCTCTCTCCTCTTTTGAAAAGACAACCATTAAAGGTGATCTCCTTTTTTGAAAGACAACCATTAAAATTGGAATATAATAAAAATAAAAATTTATAAACGGACAAAAATATCTTTTTGGACCCTGCATTCAGCTCAGTCGTACGATGGATCCGCCCCCTAGATCTATGCTATGCGTGCAGTTACTGACTCTATCTCATGTCGTTGAGATGGGAAGCAATCTATGTGGAACAGTTTTGACGTGATTGGGGGAAGAGGGTAAGTAAGGGGTAGTAATTATTATTTTATATTAAATAGTATTTAAGATGGGTAGTAGTAAATAATAATGATCAAGTATTGCGAAATTGTAACTGAATTTGTATCGTAGTTTATCGTGATTCAACCGTTTCATATATACTACGTTAAAAATTGTCTACCGGATGAGTCTCTGTCTATCTGATAAGAGGTTTTTTACGGTTGAACCCACGGCGATACGATTTGGTTTCGAGGGATATATGATATCTATCTTTGTCATGTTTCCCTAATTGGTTAAAAATATTCATCGATGGATTAATTGATTATCTATAACTAGGGATGGCAAAAATATCCGTAACCGTGGATATCCGCCCGAATCCGGCCTAATTGGGCAGGGTAAAACCCGAACCCGAAGGACATTTAGTGGGTACGGGTAAAATCCGAACCCGAATATTGCGGGTAATGGGTGGACATGGGCTTCTCACTATCCAACCCGAACTCGCACAATTATACACATGCATATGTATTTTGTCTAGAAATAATCAATATTTTTCTCTAACATATTTTATATTTAGCATATAAATATAATATTTTCATGAAATTGTGTAGTTTTAATTAACTTTCTTTATTCTAGTGAATTATTGTCGAACTTTTCCTCTTACATAATGTGAGAATACGTATGAATGTTAACATATTGGATGGAGTTATGAAGAGAAATTATTACCATGGATAACCGTGGATACGCGAAACCCGAACGAGTATGGGCATGGTTTTGATTTTCTACCCGTTTCACATGTGGGTATGGGTAAAACCCAAACTACTATGGATTGGGTAACGGATATGCATTATCCACGCCCGACCCGACCCATTGTCATCCCTATCTATAACTCTCCATTTGCATTTTAGAATAATTTTTAATTTCTCATGTCCACAATAAATGCCGAGGCTTGAGTACTTAGCTGGGATTTCTGTTAATTTCTATATAATAGTTTTTTACCCGGCCAATTGGCCGGAGAAGTTCATTTTATTATTTATATTAGTTAACTTATCTACATGTTTGAACTTTCTCTGATCATAAATCATGTCGTAAAGGTTTATCACGTCCCATTTAGGATCGTATTTTTTTTTCATCAAGACGCTCAAATTTATTATCTTATACAACATATATCAATTCATGATTCTCGAGTTTGTACGAACTCTCAGCCAATTAATCAGAGTTCAAATTATTGGAAAAAGATACTTGATTACTGGATAAATTATGTTTATCCAATTGAAATTTGACACACATCGTATCCCTTATAATGATTAAATTCTCTAAACCTCACTCATTGTTGATGTTCATGAAGTCTTTGTATAGCAACTTATTATAATTGCTAATATTTTAAGTTTGTACTATCCCTCAACCATGCTTTTTGTCTAGATGTTCGTTTAGAATCTGAATCCAAGGATTCATATACACTATCGAAGGTTCTCATTTTAACATGTTCCTTCAATGTATAAATTTTCAACTATTTGAATGTCCATTCGCTAAAATTTCTTTATATTTGGTGTTTGTTCCAGAACAAAAATTTCATTACTTATATTAATAATTGTAAAGTGTGTATACAACAGACAAATATTTTAGGTGCATTCAAAATTATGTATTCCTTGAATAATTAACTTATAATTTTTTAACAAAATATTTTGTAGCAAAATTTAAAATTTCATACAAACATTGTGGCTTTTTACATGTATTTAAATGATTGGATGTATTGTAGACACATCTATTGTTAATATCTAAACATATATATATATATATATATATATGTGAAATTTATTTTACTTTCAACACTAATTAATAACTTTGAACTCAGCTCCTTGGGTGGAATATGATATCAATTTTTTTGTTATTGCCAAAATTTGGTATGAAATCACAAACTCACAACTATATAGACTTGTTACAATTTTCTTACTAAACTCATATTTATTAAGTATTCCTCTTTTGACCCAATAGCTCGGTTTACACTATTGTAACTATAAATGTTTTTTGTTATATATGTGTAGTAAAATATTAATGTTTATTCATTACCTCAATCTTCGTATTTAGATTTTTCTTAGTATAAAATGTGATGTTTAACGTACATCCTTAACAAAGATTTCTCTAAATTTCACACATTTCATTTTTCAAGTGATCTCGTGTCTCAGTCAAAGTTCATCAACTATTATACTCTAAGTCATTTTGGAAACTTCAATTTATAATCTTTAACAATAAATAACTCCAAGTCTGAAAAGAAAATTTCTTAGCATATGATGTAAGACCTCAATAGAGCTTGCTCAATCAACATGACTTAGAGAAAATATTAGTAATGTGAACTTAGGATACATTATAAATACTGCACATGCGATTCATATGTTTTCACTTGATCAGAATGAATAAAAAGTTTTTTTAATAAATAACTATTATTTCTTGGTCAAGTTTCTTTCAGACATTATCGACAAAATATTATTATTTTTGTGTGTTTGTTTAAATTATTCATTAAAATGTAACTTATTATTAAGTTTTAGTAAAAATGAGCAGAATTTACATAGTAATCTTTAATCATATATTTTTGGTTTAAAAAGTGTGATATTTATGTCAATCTACGAACATTAGTATATTGTTGCGTACATCGATATAATGCAAAACCAAATGTGATATATGTCACTCTACATCAAGATTGTCACGTCGGTTGGCATGCCACCGGTTGAACCATTCAACCGGTACCGGTCATGAAATCGACATGACACCATCGGTATGACCGGTATGATCGTTTTACGAATTTCTAAGCAAAATACATAGTTTTAGTGAATTTAAGTATGAGTACATGTAATTTTATTTGAAATATCACATTTTATTCAAATATCAATATGAATTGTACGTAAATTATCTTCAAATATGGTTTGTATATGATTAAATTCATTTGATATTAATGATTTTTTATATTTCTACATATTTCATTAACCGACATGAAACGACACAAACCAGTTGTACCACTGGTAAAACCATTACACTTGCTAAACCGGTTTGATAACCTTTCTCTCCATATATTATTTATAGATATAATGCAAAAACAAAAGCAAAATAATTATTGGATAAAAGATAATTAAATATTAAATGAAGAGAGAGGTACAACTCCATAAATAGGTCAATAACTATTTTTTTGGTAAAAAAAATTGTCCACCTTGGCAACTTGAGATCTCTCCAAGTGCTTATGTGGCAAAAATTTAATTTTGAATTTCTATAATATTATGTATAGATAGATAGATATGTGATATATGTTCTCCATTCACAGATAAGTGAAATAACACATGTAGCATGATGGTGTGAAGCACTATGAAAGGAAACTCATACCAGCCTAGAACATACATTCTGCAATAGCATCTAAACTGGCAAGAACATGCAGAAGCAGCAAATCAATGATGAGAATTTAGAACAGGCGTACATTGTAAACTAATCTAATGATAAAGCTGACCTCACGTGCTGATTACCATATACTGTCGAGAGCAGTAGCAACCCCTACTGCAGAGTTCAGATGCATGAACCTTATGTATAAAACCACCTATGTATCCTAACTAAAGAAGGATAATGTCAAAAGAATTTATGAGAGCAAATGGAGTGTAATAAAATAAACAAAGCAAGCAATCCCAGACAACTTCTGAATCATTCAATATCAGATCAACGAAGGTGGATAAGAAAAGATACGTAGAAGCAGTCTCAATAATCCAGACTCTGCCAATCTGAACTCCTGGATATCTCACTCTCAGGTTGAAAGTTACTAATAACAAACACCTGGTATCTGCAAAAGCAAGAAGAATAAGTATAGTAAACATTTTCCGCCATGGGTTCCATTTTAGTACAGTTGAAGGGTACAAAAGTTACAAAGTTTAATACAAGGGCACATTGCAAGGAAGCCATAGTTAAGGGTCATAAAGAGCTTATTATGACCAAAACGATAAAAGAGAAACCCAACACTTCCCAAACACACCATACAAGTTGATCAGCTCCTTCCCCTTAAATAGATAGATATATAGATAGATGATAAGTTCCTTCTAATGCCATCATCCTTCTTCGGATCTGAGCCTTTCAGCAAGCACCTCCTGCTCCATCTGTTGGTTCGGCAAACAAAGCAACAACAACGTAAATTATGATCAGAAAGCAGGCCACATAAAGAAACACGAGAGAAGAATACAGTAAAATGTCTCTGTTATATCTAGTACTCACATGACTAATTTCTTTCTTTCTCTCTGACTCTTATTTTCATTGCTCGTGCATTACTAGTAATTTTCATTAGTGCACAACTAACCGTAGCATAGAGTCACAAGCAGTAATAAGTACCAAGTATTGAAGTGTTGTTGTCAGTTCCGCTGTTGCTCTGAATCCAACAGCTGCAGCTTCCATCGTACATAACTCTCAATTCCTTGTACCTTGGGATCGAAGTAGGCCAGCAAGAGAATTGAACTTGGAACAAGTTCCAATAACTTAAGAATACTCTTGCTTCTGAGAAGAGCTCCACCTCTCCCCCTGTCCTCAAATCGCAGGACAAGGCACAAATTAAACCAGCATCACCACGATGTTTGAGGAAGAAAACTTCCGGCTTCTCTGGATGCAAACAAGGCCTAAGATAGTGGCGAAGCTCATACAATCTCGACTTCTTTAGCAGCCCGTCACATACTTTCCTCCAAGACTTACGGTCTTGTTCCAGTCTCCAAACACTCGATGCAATCTGTGAACGATCAGGTCGAAGTGAATCTTCAAATGCAATGGCGTGCAAGGTGCCTTGCGAGACTGAGATATCCCACCCGGGTTTGCAGAACACTTCCGGAGCATCAATGGCAGTGGGAGGGATGTCGGGTCGGAAAGGATTAAAAGCAGCAATGAAAAATCTCGACCGGCAAACAGCATCTTTATCTTGGTTCGGAACATCATAACTCCAGAACAGCTCCCCATTGCAGGAAACCACATTTCTGGCTATGCATTGGTAATGATTGGGAATAACAAGACGATCCTTGGTCCATTCTCCGGTATCCGAACAGAACACGTCTAGCTTTGCAGACGATCCACGCGGGTATAGGCGCACCACGCGGAATCGATACTCGGACGAATAAGCAAAGACTTGGTTATCTCCTAGATCGAGATCATTACACATGCGGGGTTCACAGACTAACCTTGTGAAGAAATACGGGCACCCTGCTGGCAATTCAGGCGCCAAAGGGAGGGCGAGCCATTGCTTGGTGAACGGATTGCAGACGAAGTAGGTTCTGTACAATTCGCCGCTGGTGGTACCCACATCCTCGAATCCGCACAAGACCAGGTCCTTGTAAGAATCGATTACTGCAAAGGACATACGGGATAGACGGCTCATAGGGAGAAAGCTCGTGATGATCGATTGCGGGTCGTCTGAGTGAAGAAGCAGAGGAGGTTGTTGGCTCCTGCTCCGGTGGTAAGAAATGAAACGGCGATTGAACCGTACTGGGTCGAAGATGAGAGAGCTCCATCGCTTGCAGACGAGCTTGCATCGACAGGCGGACCTAGGGTTCGGCAGGGCGTGGATCAGAACCTCTACGAGGAGATCGTCTGCCAGTTTCCCGATCGGAGGGTATACTTCAGCTGAATGTGTCCGCGCTCGTTTGCTGGAGCTGCAAGGCATAAAACATGAGCTTAGCCGGCGACCCAGAGCCGAGGTGCTGTTATCGGCCGACATGGTCATGGAGGAAGACACTAGGGATGGCAATGGGTCGGGTTGGGTCGGGTTTTGTCAAACCCAAACCCAAACCCATGGGTTTATCCGTGAAAAAAACCCGGGGTAAAACCCACTGGGTTTGAAAAACTCAAACCAACCCAACCCGCTGGGTATCCGCGGGTTCATGGGTACCCACGGGTTTTGTCGTAAAAAATTCACAATAACAAATTCCTATCAAAATTAAAGTCAAATATCAATTTCCCAATACAAATTATCCACATATAAAACACCACTCTAGAAAATTCAAGCAAATCACAAATTAACTATACAAATTGTTCAACACCAATCTAGAAAACTCAAAAAAATTGAAGCAAATCACAAATTATCCATAAATAACATGATTAATTGAAAGCTTCTTCCTTTCAATTAAGTTTTTCACTATCCACTCGATAACATCAACTTCATACTAAATAACTAGAAAGAAAAAATTAGACATGTCTCCACAAACATAAATAAGATTAGTTGTTTAGCATATTAAATATGCCGAGAAAATTAATTAAATGGGTGTGGGCGGGTACCCACGGATCGGGTTTACCTAAACCCAAACCCAACCCAACCCGGTGAATAGTGAACGGGTTTAAACCCAAACCCGGCCCAAAACCCGTCAACACAGATTTTACCCGCGTTGACCGGGTTGGGTCGGGTGGGTACCCGTGGGTTCGGGTTTTGTTGCCATCCCCAAAGACAGAAACCCATCGGAGTAAGGATTTCAGACGACCGGAAAGAGATCGAAACCCCTAATTTTTTTGCCGATCGAAATCCCTAATTTTTCTTTTTGGGTGTTGGACTGTTGGTTAATGGGCTTCTTTTTTTTTTTTTGGTTTCTACATCAAAAATATTTTTGGGCTCCTTGATGGGTTGGCACTTGGCAGTATTGCACATTTGGGGAAATAAGCTCATTCCCGCGTAGTCCATCTCAGCGTTTGCGTCGGAAATGCGAATAAGCGGCTCACCATACGGCTCGAGAAAACTTGTTTAAAACTCAATTCCTTCACTAACAGGTCGAGTTTAAATTAAGTCTTGTTAAACTCATCTCAGTGGTTTGTTTAGCTCATTTTGTGAGTTGGCTTGTTTTGAGCGATTTATATCTTAACAAGTTACCTTATTAATAATTCATTAGTTTGTTAAATTATATATCTCATGTGTCATTTAAGAATTTAAGTATGTGAACATATTTGTCTCATTTATAATTCAAAAGATCTATTGTGTGTCATATATTTTTTAGACACTAATAACTATGAAATAATATTATATGAACCGGTGAAAATTTATCAACGAAATAATATCATATCAATAGAGTATATAAATATGGATTTAGCCCATGATGAAAAAATTGATTATTATTCTCTTTTTCTTCATTACATCAATCACATGTACATATATAACATACAAATAGTATTGTATTTAATTTATAACTTATATTGAAGTTTAGTTTAAGGATTCAACTATTAAGAATAAATGAGTCGAGCTCGAACCAAACTCGTGATCTTAATTGTGAGTTAAAATTTTGGTAAACAAGGCGAACTCGAGAAAGGAAAAAATCGCCTCCCATCGCCTCAATTGATGTACAACCCTATTTGTATGCTCCTCTTGTACAGAAAATTGATGAAATGAATAGTATTGCATATTATAATCTCATAATATTTCGTTTTATTTTGTGTTATTTTGGTGGTACTTGTTATTGGTGATATTACGGGTAATGAGTTCATAGGTATTTTACTAATTAGTTTGTCCTAGTTGGAAGGCAATATGCCATTGCATTGTCATACATTCATCTCTCTATTTTCACTACAAAAATTTGCATGTTCAATTCTATTTCTTTCTATTCTTCTTTTTTTATCTGGTGGCAACAATCGGTCGTCGCGTCTTTGAACATATCTCCGACAGCTCTCTCCCCTCTATATTTATGTATTTGTAGCTAGAAATGGAGGATTTAATTTCTTAATCAACAAACGTGGATGTGGTCCTCTACTCCTCTCCCTCGATTGTAGTGGAATTTTTTAAGGATATGTTTATAGGGGAGACTCAAAGAGGAAGATCTTTTATTTTACTAAATATTATGGTAAACAGATGATACATAAAAATATGATAAAGTTTACAAATTGTCGTTATTAAACAAATTATGTGCTTAATATATACAGTTACATATTAGAATCTGATGTTACAAACAACACATATACAAAAGTTACAAACTATAATCAAAATATTTAAAAAGTTACTAATGACAATGTTACAAATTGAAATTCACAATATTCAAAATAACCCGTTTTGCATATATGGAAAGCTATAAGCATTTCATATTAGGTCCAATTAATAGAACATCAACATATATATCCTTCTCGAAAAGTTGTTCTTCTTGTGCAGATATCACAAATCGCATTATCGTTTGTAAGGTGGAAGATTACTGAACATTTTTTTGAAAAAACAATATTATTAGAAACATACAAACAGAAACAATGCTTTAAATAGTCAACAATAATAATATATCAAACCCACAAGATTAAGAGAATGCTTTAAATAGTCCACAACAACAACAATAATAATAATAATAATATATCAAACCCACAAGGTTAAGAGGATGGAAGCCATCTTTGCCGCCAGAGGACTATAGCTCTTCTTCTGGATCGAGAGAATGAGAGTTAAATTATAAAGGGATTTTGTGGGGATATAATAATAATACCATTTGGTGTTTGAGTGATTGTGAAGGTTAGGAGTTTAATTTAGGGAAAAAATCTCAAAGTACACTAGTTCTTAAAAAAAATTCCCAAAATACATAAGTTACATAATTTAGTGTGGTAGTAGTAGTGATGTTCTTGGATCCTGAGAAATGAGAGTAGTCCCTTGAACTTGTTGCAGCCATTGTTGAGATGGAAGCACATCAGGTCAATAACTGATGGGTCAGTAATCCATTAGTAACCCTTTCTCCTGTCCTCATGTGTTAGTTCACTTTTTTATTTTAATTAAATTCGAAATGATAGTAAGGTAAAATTGCACTTACCCCTATTTGTTGCTGACGCTGACTTTTGACCGGACCACATCAGCGTCTTCTTCTCTCTTCTCAAAAAATATTTGATTTTCCTTCCCTTAATCTTTAATGAACGATTTTTCACTCGTTTTAAGTCGGATTTTTTTTTTTTGCACAGTTAGATCAGATTAATTGTGCTCTTCAAAATGATATCCACTTTGATATTTTTTGGGCACAAAACAATTTGTTAGTTATTACCAGTCTATACCATATGGTATTGACTGGTATTAAATAAGAGCATACCATATGGTATGAAAAAATTTGTCACATCAATATATATTTCGTTACCACCCAATACCATATAGTATAGTGTAATATCAATATATACTTCGTTACCACCCAATACCATATGGTATAGTGTGGTAATATCAATATATACTTCGTTACCACCCAATACCATATGTTATTGTGTGGTAACATATTTCGTTACCACACAATACCATATGGTATAGTGTGGTAATATCACACAATACCATACAATATCATATGGTATAGTGCGGTAATATCAATATATATTCTGTTACCACACAATACCATATGGTATAATGTGATAATATCAATATATATTTCGTTACCACACAATACTGTATGGTATAATATGTTAATATCAATATATATTACCTAAAAAAAACAGAAGGAGGGAAAGGAAAAAAACTCGTCTTCTATCTCATCTCATTTCCTCCGCAATCAAGAAACCAAACGCCAAAAAAAGAAGAAAGACCGAAATTGAGGCCAACAAGTTGATGAAGAGAAGAAACACAATGAAAGAGGGTGGCTGCAATTTTTCTTCGTCGATTGCTGGAGAAAAAAATCTCTCTCCTCCTTTGAAAAGACAACCATTAAAAGTGATATCCTTTTTTGAAAAGTCAGCCATTAAAATTGGAATATAATAAAATAAAAATTTATAAACGGACAAAAATACCCTTTTGGACCCTCCATTCAGCTCAGCCATACGATGGATCCGCCCCCTAGATCTACGCTATGCGTGCAGTTACTGATACTGGTTACTGACTCTATTTCATGCCGTTGAGATGGGAAGCAATCTATGTGGAACATTTTTGACAGGATTGGGGGGAAGAGGGTAAGTAAGGGGTAGTAATTATTAGTTTTGATTAAATAGTATTTAAGATGGGTAGTAGTAAATAATAATGATCAAGTATTGCGAAATTGTAACTGAATTTGTATCGTAGTTTAATATATCGTGATTCAACCGTTTCATATATACCACGTTAAAAATTGTCTACTGGATTAGTCTCTGATAAGAGGTTTTTTACGGTTGAACCCACGACGATACGGTTTGGTTTCGAGAGATATATGATATCTATCTTTGTCATGCTTCCCTAATTGGTCAAAAATATTCATCGATGGATTAATTGATTATCTATAACTCTCCATTTGCATTTTAGAATAATTTTTAATTTCTCATGTCCACAATAAATGCCGAGCCTTGATTACTTAGCTGGGATTTCTCTTAATTTCTATATATACTAGTGGTGATGTTGCGCCTCGTTGCGTGGCGGAGATGGTATATGGGCATGTATTATGCATGGTCCAGGATACCGGATCGGACCGGCTGGTTGAATCGGTAAAACCGGAAACCGGACCAGATCCGAAACGGCAAGCTAAACATGGGCAGATTGCCGTGCCGGCCGGTATTTGGTGGAATCGGCCTGCCGCGAAATACCGGACGGTTCTGATCATGCCGCCGGTTCTGATCTAATCCTAATTGAGATATCATCCCATCTGCTGCTACCGAATCGACTCACCTATCGGAGGCAGCAGTTCGCCACACCAGTCCCAGCAAATCTACTCTTCGTCTTCCTCCCCCTGATCTGTGCGGGTCGTCGCCATTCGCCGTGTTTGTCGATCTGCCTCTGCTTTGGTCTTCTCCCAGCCAGAGATCCATGTTCATCGTTCGTCGTCTTCTCCTCGCCTGCTCGTCGTCTTCCCCCGGCCGTTCGTCTTTGCCGCCGTGGTCGCCGTCTTCATTTCCGATTCCACTGAGGTCGGCGATAAGCAACCTCCATATATTCTCTGCCAGCGACCTTCTGCTCTTCAATATCCGGCGACAACATCACCCAACCAGGCTTGTTCCTTCTATTCTACCCGCTACGTGTATCATCCGTCAACATGCCCCTCACTGGAACCTAGTTTGTCCCTTCCCCCGCCATCACACGCCTGTTCTTTCTCCCATTCAATTCTAATATCCATTTCGTTTTTGCAGGTTTCTCAATTGATTAGTTGGTTGGCTGGAGCAAAAGAAAATTGTGTGTGATAAATAATTGATTTTGGATAGAAATTGATAATAATAGATCAGGGGCAGGGTGATTTCGGCTAGCTTTGAAGAGACATAATGGGTTGGCGGAAACAGTGAAGTGAGATGACTTGCAGCCTGCAGGGGATTGTGGTTGCTTTGAGTTTGTTTTTGTTACCATTGTCATGTGCAACAAAACACTAATCATGATTTTCTTTTTCCCGAGTTATCTGTTAATGATCATAGACTGTGTTTTGTTAAAATAAAAGTTAGGATGAGAATTAGTAAACCTTAATAAAGTGTTAGTACATCGTTGCTCAATAAAGTTATATTCTTCCAATAAAATTCTCTTCAACATGAAACGGCTGAACCACGGTCGTACCACAAAATACCCTACCAGAAAGGAATCCGGTATGATGTCCGGTACGGTTTCCTTTACCATGGTATTATGTGGTCCGTTATGATATTTTGTTTGTATTATTAGTCTAAAATTGATTTTTTGTTAGCAGTTTTGTTAGTAATATTGACTTGACAATATGATATTGACTGAGAAGAGATATATGGTGGTCAATATCAAATTTTAAAAATTTTGAAAATTTTGTCTAATAAATGATATTTACCTAAACCCAAGTAGACCCATTGATTATGGGTAGGGTATGGAGGACGTATATATGAGTTTGGAAGTTTGTAGATGAGTTTGGATAGAGGATGAATATTCACTTTCATAATCTAAATGTGTATGAGTTGGGTATGGATACCCATTTATTCAAGGGTGTTTT